ACTAATCCGATTCCATTCTTATCATGTTTATATACAGTAAGCCTGAAAGTTATGCAGGGTTGATGTTCCCTGGGATCATGCCTAAAGCCAAAGTCACCTATAGTGAAAAACACACTGGGAGCAAAAGGGTGGGTGGGATTGCTAAAGTTTTTTTTCTGGAAGCCCACCCCCTTTCTGCCACCTTATTTCCCCCCCTGATTGCTAAGTGCATAAAGCTAAATGCACACAAGTTAAATGTGCATAAGTTGCAGGCTTACTGTATTTGTATATCCCAAGGTTTCCATACTCAGTAACTGACAGTCATGCTCTTACAAGCCAAGCCAATCAAGGAAAAATGAACCAGAAAATACAGGAAAATACAGGCTGGGGCATAAGATGCACTCCTATAAGTATGCAGCTTTCATAAGGGATGCTGAGGTTAATCTATGAAAACAGAAGGCATATGAGGACTAAACCCCATTCTTTGGAAGCTCTGCTCCTTCATTCTGTATGCATGAGGGGCTGCCTGTTGGTAGTAGTGGGGTAGAGGTAAGAGTGCCATAGGATGAACTCTGACTCAGATTAAGTATTCACAAATACTAATATTGATCTGTAGCAGGAAAGCAGAACCTGTGGCACGTTCTTGTTGAAATACAATTCCCATCATCCCTGAACATTGGTTATGTTATCTGAGGGGAGTTGGAGTCCAATAACATCTGCAGGCCATAGGTTTCTCATGCATGATCTTTAGAATTTATCCTTGATTTTTTCTACTTCAACCTTAAAAAAATGCTCCTGTTATGAAAGGTAAGAGTTTTCCCATCCTGCTTTGTTCTCTCATCTTAAACACTGCTGAGAGTCTGTCCAATGAGAGACAATTGCCAGACAACAATTACTATGGAAAGTGAATAAGTGGTAAATGACTTGTATGTTAATAAGCTAAACAGATTAAAACAGCACCCTCAGTCATTTGAAATCAAAGCAAGCTACTGTGCTCAGTAGGAGTACAATTTAACAGTTCCAGGTTAATTAATCTTCAGTTTGCTTTTAATGACAAAAATACAAGGCACGTGTAACATGTACAATATGCATAATTCCAAAGCTTTGACAAATATATCTCATTGAAGTTTGTATTTATAGTTTGTTTGTCCATGACTTTTACTTGTATTGAACTAGTTTATCATATAAACAAACAAGCACAGTTTCACTTTACTGGATTGGCATTATTGACTGAACATTTGTGTGTGTGTGTGTGTGTGTGTGTGTGTGTGTTACCTACATACTACTGTATAGTCTGATCATGTAACAAAGCATTTGTGTCTCTAGATTGACCAAGGTCTTCCTAATTATTTAGTAGCTGATCAATGTATTGAAGGCTATTCTTAATTAAATTTTGAAGAACATGAAGACAGAGCTACTGTTTCAGATTGCAACAGGGAGGAGCCAGTTTCAGAGTCTGTATAGACAAGGGATAGAAGCACTTGAGAACATGGGCATAGCCAAGGGGGGCAGGGAGGGGCAGCTGCCTCCCCAATCAATAGGGTGGGAAAATACATAGCAAACTGAGATTCTGCCCCTAACAAAAGGCCTGCCCCCCCAAAACCTCCTGGTTACGCCTATGCTTGAGAAGCTTGCTTACACCCCTGAACCACAGGGGTGGAAATATTGCTCCCCTTTGCCCACCTAAATGTCACCCCTGAAGCTAGGCTCTCACTTTCAGAGAACCTGTTATTTCCCCTGTTAATACTTTAATTAGGTTAATAACATTCACCTAGAAAAGCCTCCAGTTCCTGTCTTTCATCTAAATCTGCACTCTCTGGTATCATGATAATTGCATGCTGCTTTCCTACAAAGTTATGATCAAATTTTAGTGTCCAGCACCTGAAGCTACTTGTCAGATGCCATTAGTTAATTGTGGGTAATCTGCCCCCAGCCATATAGCTTCCTGCTAATTACCATGTATTTAGAAGACAGGGTATGTTGTTGCTCAAAGTATGTATGTGTGCTGTGATGCCTATCATGAGAAAATGGCCAAGCATCAAGTGAGGTCATGAGACTTCCATCCTTTATGAAAGGCTTTTAAAATATGATAATAATGCACTATCAATGCTGCAATCTTTTCTAGGCTTGAGCATCAAGGATCTCAGCTCTTGATTCTGAAATACATTCTATCCCAGCACTATGTCTGTATAGTGGTGTAGCTCTAATATGTAAATAGCATTCCTGCAATGATTGTCCCCACCCACCCATACTTTTGATCAATATACTTTGGCTGTTCCTCAGGCTATTCATTTAAACCAAGGCTCTTCTCCGTTTTGATCCTAAGTACTGCAAGGCACAGATCCCTTCGTATCTTCTTCTGCAGCTGGAAAACTGAAGTGAAGCTACAAATTCCACACATTTTTTCAAAGTGTGTGCATTTAAATTTAAATGTGAATTAGCATCCCACTTAAAAACTTCAAAAACAAGATACGCAAAGGGGATTTCAAGCTTTCTTGTTACTAATTTGTGCTTTTGCATATTCATAGGATGTGACTTTGTAAGTCACTGTTTGGATATGTAAGTAAATAAGGTTTTCAGCTGCAGTGGCATCAGCTGCTACACTAATGGAAAACATATTGCTGACTGCACAGTAACAACCTGCCATGTCAGGAAAACTTCTAGTAGTGGCTCACTTTTGGTCCTCCAGACATTGGTGGACTACAGCTCCTGTAGTCCCTAAGCTTTGGACATGCTAACTGGGGTTGATGGGAGTTGGTGTCCAACAACATCTGGTTGGCCACAGATTACCCCTGTTCTAGTTGTGTGGGGGCACTGAAGGCCCATGGACTCTCCTCATGCAACCACATCTCCTTTTTGTCCCGCCCCCTTGCAGGCTTTAGACTTGAATCTATAGCAGAGCTTTCCAAATTTTTCATGTTGTGATGTTGTCTTTAGCTCGACAACACTTGTCCATGACAATGGAAGTACTCATATGCTTTTGGTGGATATCACATGTAATTCAAAATTCAAAAATATAGAAAGTTGTATATCATTTATAAACAAATTAATCATACACCGAAGACAATACAGCAAAGATACAGTATTGACAATTATAACAGTTAAACAGCCTCTTTTACAGGAGGTTGCATAACATATTTGTTTTCTATGAGTCCAGCCCACCCTCACCTTCTTATCTGGGAAAGCATCAGGTTTGGCCAGTTCTGTAGAAAGATAAATTTGATGTGAGTTTTTCCATAGTTAACTAATTCCACATCCTCAAGAATCAAGCAGCTATTATTGGATTTATTTCAGTCTACTGAGCACACTTACTGACATAACAAAATGTAAACACAAAAATACTTTAAAATGCTTGTTTGAGAAAAATGGGTTGTGAGATATGAGCCTTTCTGTGACCTGGTTCAAAAGTCTTTTCTCCGGGCAATATTTACAGTATTTTTGTTTATTTCTTTATAATATACTTTATATGTCTCCCTATAAGCAAAGTTTTCTGGGCAGTTTGTCATACGTTGTCATACGTGTGGAGGAAAACCTTAAACGTTGCAGAGTTCAGCAGAGTTCCCAAAAATAGACCAGAGGCAATAGTACTTCATTCAGCAGAGCTTTACTTGTGCTGAAGGCAAATGTAGCATAATGGTTATCAAATCCAATACAATTAGGATTGGCTCAGTTCATGCAAAATCCAGTTGCAGCATTTATAAACTTAACTCATAATAAGACTAAACCTTAGCACTAAAGCATCCTATGTACAGAAACATCATACCAGAAGGAAGTGAGATAGAAAGAGAAAAGTAAGACCCAGGCTTCTTTTGGCCTATATTTATAGTCAGCATGACTCTGCAGAATAGAGATAAAAGAACTAGTTCAAAGCAGCTTCGCAGAAAGTATAACCCAAACAATCATTAACCCTTCTGCCTCTGCTACTCTCACACAGAGAAGCTTCTAGTAGCTTATAGAATTAATCAGAATAGAATAGAATAGAGTGCCTATGACATTACTGGTAATAAGCAACTGCCCTGTAAACGTCAGCAGCATTTGAAGCTTTTTAAATTGTTATTTTTGGTTTGCAGCATCAAGTTTATCAACACTCAGTCATCAATTCAACAGCATGTACGCATGCACACACACATACACACGAACCCACAATAAGGACCCAATACACACCATTGCATTTTATAAACGCTCTTTTGGTGTGTGTGTTTCAGCTCTAACCATGCCTGGCGTCACTATCTACCATACTAGGGCATCTGCTGGGGCCCATTCACATTAGGGCTGATGCCTTGCCCCACTCACATTTAGCCTCTTGTGCTCATGGACAGAGTACTGTAATCTGATGACGGTGACAGCCCATTACTGTGCAGCCGCTGGGAAAGCCTACTTGTAAATGTGAGATTGGCAGCTGCCCCACCCCACCCCACTCTGTGACTGGCTTCTACCCTGTAATGTTGCTGCAGTGGGATACCGCTGCCATGGGTAAGCCTGCTCTTGGGCAAACATGAGGGAGGTTGGCAGCTACAGGGGCATATCTGGGGGGGGGGAGGAGTTAGGTTGGCTCTGGGTGGGCTACCTAGGGCAGCTTCTCTGGGGCCTTCCAAAGGCCAGAGCCAAGCCTGACTCAACATATATTTATGGACTTTTTTGGAAAAAAGTATTAGGATCAAATGCTATCTGAGTCAAGGATTTGTTGTGTGATCTTGGACAAACCAGTTAATCTATGCTTTATATTGGGAATGATAACAAACTATGTCACAGGGTTCGTTTAAAAGTTAATGATTGCACACTCAAAGAAACATACATAATGGCAACAACTGAGGAAAGGAACAAAATTCTCAAGTAAATAATATGATAACGCTAAGTGGAGATCTTTAGTAGGAGGACCACCTGGATTGACACACCTAGATCAGAAAAGAAGCAGGCCCAGTGTCGTGACACTTGTGTGTGATTGCATCTTCACATTTCTGTGAGTCATATACCCTGTGCTCCTGAAGGCACATTATTTATCCCATGTTTTATCTCTACAGTGAAGATGTCTGCAAACGAGGGTTTACTGTCATCATTGATATGAGGGGATCTAAGTGGGACCTGATCAAGCCCCTATTGAAGACTCTTCAGGAGGCCTTCCCTGCAGAAATTCATGTTGCCCTGATAATCAAGCCTGATAACTTCTGGCAGAAGCAGAAGACAAATTTTGGAAGTTCCAAATTTATCTTTGAGGTAAGATTGAGAGCCTTCTGTAATGTCTGAAGAGTTTCAATTTGAGTAAAGATCACATATATCTAGGCAATTCAGTCTATATTGATTAATTGAAAAATTCACAGTCAGTGTTAACTTTAAAAAAGATAATGCCCTCAAGTTAAGAGGGGAAGGATGTTCATGCTACAATAGTTGCTGCTTCTGCAAATAATCTGCTCAAATAGTTGGCTTTTTTGACAATTGAACAACCCCAACAATAGTAAGGTTTACTTTTGTATTTTCCCTTGTGGGTACAGTCAGTCACAAGTTGTAGGTAAGCTAAAAAGAGCAAAGCTGACACTTGATTGACTAATGCAGATTCAGGAGCTTGCTGTCAACGAGAGGGATGACCCAATAAACCTCCTTGTCATTAATTCAGGAGTACTTTTGCAAATTATTTTTCTTTTCTCCTGAAAAGATTGAATGAGCAGGCTGTGATTTTGATTGGTTGCATCTAAGAGAGAGAAATATGACAGCTGATAGGCTGTTACCTTGCTTTGCACATCCCTTCTCCCTTCCTGATGAAGTTTGATAATGTATTCCTATTCATCTCTAGTTCTCCCGAGAGAACCTATCTGAATAATAAATGCATCTTCAGAGTGCTTTAAACAAAAAGGCCTCCTGTCACATCTTTGTGCCAAAAAGGCCGATTGTGACAGGAAAGAATATTTTTGAAGTGGATTTTAAAACCAAGTGGGGAATCTTTGACCTGCATTGACATATTTTATGCTAAATGTAATCATCACCTTAAAACTTTAAAGGGTTACTGTTCAAGATGAGAGACCATAAAAGCTTGAGGTGCATTTTTAAAGGTCTACTGTCTTAATTTGTATCTGACTGTCTCCATAATTGTAAATACAATACAATGGAGTATTGACCTGGTTACTGTGTTGTGGAGTACGCCATGGCTAATTATTTACCATGGACACACTTTTCTGAGCTGTTTGCCTCCTTCTAAATCAGCAGAGAAAATAAGCCAAAATAAGCTCAGGGTTCCATCCAAACTAGGAGAAGCCAAGAAACCATGCTCATTAAACCAAGAACAAAACTTGGCTACAGATGGTGATCTGTTGGAAGTGAAAGAAGCCGTGATCTCTGGTCTTAGCATAATATGTTTCTCCTTCATCCTAGCAGAAAGGAGACAAACAGCCAATAAATGTATACCTTAGTGGTTTACCATGATGTTTGAACAGGGTCACTGTCTTATGTACATGTTAAAGTGTCACACCCCGGTGATCTCATAATATCTTCACCTTTCTTCACCTTAGATACTAAGGTGGAAAATGAATATGTCATGACTCTGGTGTGAGGGTGTCTGTTTCCTCACTTAGTCAACAGGTTGAAAGTGGACCTGAGAGAATGTGGGAAGGGAACTATGCTACTTAATCATGCACTGTAGTTCACTTCCCAATTCCTCACATTTCCTTGTTCAAAATGCCAGCTATCTGTCTGGATGGTGGTTGCCCAGGTCCTTGTTGTTGGCTTCCTGAAGATGACTGTGAGAATAGAATGTTGGACTAGATGAGCCCTTTGTTTGATACAGCCGTGCTCATCTTATGTTTTTTCGGGGTGTTGTTTTTTTATCATGGTCTCTCCCCAAAGCTGCCCCTTAGTGCTACATGGCTTGGATTTTAAAGTGCATTTTCCTTCTTTGCTTGTACTTTAAAATCAAAGAGGCACAGTTTTGCTGAGACACTGATAGCAGCCCAGGCATTCAGCATAGGCTCAATCCAGAGCTGGTGAGTGAGTGGCGAGCCAAAGTGTTTTTTGCCCACACCTAAGGTTAGGGGTTATAGGGCCCCTAGACCTCTGCCCAAAGCCCAGCCCTAAGAGCACCATTGACTGCTGCCAAAAAAAATATGTATATAAAATTAGTATTGCACTGCACAGAAGAAATGTTTAAAATTTATAGCTATCACATCTTATTCTTAAGAGTTATCAACTAGTTTGTCAATCAAGTTTGAACTTTTCCTGTCCAGGTGAAAGTCACCATATTTACAAGCTGGAATTGGTGTGGGTGCAGGGGAGACTCCTTTTGGGGCAAGAGAGCCTACCTCCTTTTAAAGATTTCAACCTTTTAAAAAGCATCAAATTATAATATACATCAGTTTAAGCATCCTACAATATGACCTTATACAGATATATTGTATTATTTCCAATTGCTCTAATACATCTTCTCCTTATTTGGCAATGGATGTCAGTAAAGGTCAGTGGTGCAGACCTGAAAATTCTAACAAAGTGCAATATCTGCGATCAGCGTTGGGAGATGGAATTGTTATTTTCTAAAGTAGTGATGTGAAGTGAATCACCTAGTCTAACTCTTGGAAATGTCCCAACTGCACAGTTTGCTTTGATATATTCCATGTTCTCATTGCATTGGAATCAGAGGCCTACAGTAAGGCTCCCAAAGTGGTACATTCTGTTCTGACCTTCATAAGTAGCCTCCCTGCAGTGCTTTCACTTTCTGTAGCAAGAGCTAGGTGATTAAAAACAAAACAAAAACGCCTCTGTTCTTCTTTGTAAATTGTCATTCAATGCCTACTAATAATTAAAAAAGAAATACATGTACATAAAACAACAGGAGAAAAAGGCAGGTCAAACTGCAACCAAATTACAAGCACAATAATCCAATACTGACATGAAATTTCACCGAAAACCTGGAAAAATAACCAGGACCTGCTGCTGAAAGCTTAGTAGCATCAGTGCCAGTTGTATCAGAACGATGGTGCTCAGACTGAGTTCTTGCCAGTTGTGCCTCAGATTGCCAGTTCTGGAACTTAAGTTCTGAAGACTTAACAAGCACATGTCACAATTCTGTGTGCTTTGGTGGATAGCAGGGAGAAATAACCTGTACAAATGGGAATTTCAAAAGACAATATTTTTAAATTGTGAGGCTTTTTTAAAAAACAAGAGCTAAAGTACAGTACAGTGGACGCTTGGGTTGCAAACATGATCTGTGTGGGAGGCACATTCGCAACCCGCAGCGCCACATCTGCGCACGCATGGGTCACAATTCGGCGCTTCTGCGCATGTGCAAGCGCTGAAACCCAGAAGTAACCTGTTCCAGTCCTTCCGGGTTCAGCGCGGTGCAGTGGCGTAGCGTGGGGGGTGCAGGGGGGGGCCGGCCGCACCGGGCGCAACATCTGGGGTTAGGGCAAATCCACGGGTTAGGGGGCGCAAATCCACGGGTTAGGGGGTGCAAATTACTTGCCTTGCCCCGGGTGCTGACAACCCACGCTACGCCACTGGCGCGGTGCGCAACCTGAAGCGTCTGTAACCTGAGGTATGACTGTATAGTGAGTTTATAAGGAATGGTGAGGTATAGTTATTTTAAATGTAGCATTTTGGGAAGGGATAACTTTTTGCACACTGTCCAAGAATCATTGAAAAAGAACCTGGAAAGTCATCAAACAGTGTTATAGGATACATGGCCAGGCCCTTCATTTCCAAAACTAATAATGTAAATGACCATCTATTCCAGGATTTCCTGTTTTTTTATTCCAAGTTAATTTTTACTGCCACAAACTCATTTGTGTCCTTACCCAACAAAGACCACATAAATTACAGTGGTACTGTTTATTGAATGATAGTCAGTTTCTCCCAGGGCATCATGCTAGACCTAAAGCATGGCAAACTTCAGTGCGAACACTTCTTTAGCCATAAACTTACTGGGTGGCCATATGCAACAAATTCTTATCTCATGGCCTAACTTATCTGTTAAATGGGAATAATAAGTACATACCAGGATTGTTGATAAAACGAAGAAGATAAAGCTTGGAAAGCACATTGTAAGTTTTATATAAAGTAATAGTTTAACTTTTTTTTCATTATGACTCATAGGTAGTTCTTTTTATCCATGGCAAGTTCTTCTGTAAATACCTCAGTGGCATTTAATTTTTACATTAATTTGGCTTAATCATATTTAAAAAGGGTTGAAAAATAGCAGCCATATGGAAGCCTGTGTGATCTGCCTGTGGGAAAAGCCAGTTGGAATAATCTGAAAGAAAATAAGGAGCAGTGAGATGTGTATTTTGGCAGGGTAGAACACCTGCTTCCAGTCACACGCCTGAAACCTATATAATGGCTGTATAATTCAAATAGCAGAATCCGGTGTGATATCACATATCCACTTAGGAGAACATTCAAGCCAGAATAGCTAAAGGCAATGGGGAAGAGTTGTATTTACAGTGATACAAAATACACTCTTTAGTTTGAAGGGATATGTTGTGGAAACATTATTCCCCATCTTCCAAAAAAAGAACTTTCTAATGATCACTTTAGATTAAAAAGCACCAGTGATTCAAGAAAGGTTTGCTGCTGAAAGTAGAATCAAACGAAAGCACAAGTTCTTAAAGTTTGTGCAGTGATTATGAAGTAAATGTAGTCCCCGGTGCTCTTTAAAAGGCTCCCCGCCCCCAGTGAAATGTATAAGTTAAAAAAAGCCCATTAACTCAGTATCCTTTTCATAAAAACCCGATGTGTGGTGCCATTGGCTGGAACGTTGATGTTGGATATGAGAAATCTGGCTTCAGATTCCAGCTCAGTGGGCTTCCTTCAGCAAAATCACATCTTGTGTCATGAATGCATGCTTCCACAAGAATGTCTGCAGTTCAACTAAAATCGCAGCAAGCTCATCTTCGTATAAACCAGTATCATGTTGTGCAGAGTTTGATGCATTAGCTGCATGTTACCACCCACAAATGAAATATTCATGGACTTTGCACATGAGTACTTAATGCTTTATACTCAGCAACGACACTGAACAGTAGATTACCTCAACCAGACATACCTCAAGATCTCGAACAGTAAAATGGAAAGTAAGAGACACTTGCTGTATAGAACTGTCACAGGAAGCACTGCAAAATGTTTGTGCTAGAAGTCTGTGGGGAATTAATGGAATTACAGTTGTGTTATTACAGTTGTTATTCTCTAAATGCTGCCATGACATCTCTGAGTTGTGGATGGTGGGGGAAATTCTTACCCGTCCTGGCTGTCAATGTTCTTTCCCCCCTACAACCTACCTTCCCATGACAAATAGCTAGATAATTATAATGTTTAGATCCCAGTATTGCAACATTTCTTATTCTTTCACTGATAACACATTTCTTTTTTTTTTATGCCCTTAGACAAGCATGGTCTCTGTTGAAGGCCTAGCAAAACTGGTGGATCCCTCCCAACTAACAGAGGAATTTGAAGGATCCTTGGATTACAATCATGATGAATGGATAGAGTTGAGAGTTTCATTGGAAGAGTTTTTCAACAGTGCCATCCATTTGTTATCCAGGCTAGAGGACCTTCAGGAAATGTTGGCTAGGAAGGAATTTCCAGTGGATGTGGAGGGCTCAAGAAGACTAATAGATGAACACACGCAGCTCAAGAAGAAAGTAATTAAAGCTCCAGTAGAAGAATTGGATCGTGAGGGCCAGAGGTTATTACAATGCATAAGGTGCAGTGATGGTTTTTCTGGTAGGAACTGCATTCCTGGCAGTGCAGATTTCCAAAGTCTTGTGCCAAAGATCACCAGCCTTTTGGACAAGCTGCATTCAACTCGGCAACACTTGCATCAGATGTGGCATGTCCGGAAACTGAAACTAGACCAGTGTTTTCAACTTCGACTTTTTGAGCAAGATGCAGAAAAGGTAAGGGGTAGTTTTCTTCTTCTTCTTGAGTATTACTGTGAAATCACACGGCAACATTGTAGCAAAATATATATGCTTCTGCAATTAGCAACATGAGGAATTAATCGGGGATATAAACCTCAAGTTGCTAGCAAATGTATTTTATGTGACTTGTAAAGCAAAATCACTGAACTAATTGTTGGAAGTAGCAAGCAGTACGAGAGCCAAGAATAACTCACCTCTGGCTGTTCTGAAGAAAACTGATCTGCTTTGGATATATACAAGTAGATGTAAGGCACCCCAAGTTAAGCTTTGCTGCTTTCCACCAGGCTTTCTACCAGAACTGGTTGATGTGTTGAGAAGGTGTAACCAACTCAGGAGTTTTAGTCAGGAGTTTATTTGTGAGAAGATAGAAAAGGAGATATAGGAAAGGAAGCAATAAGTGAGCTGCTGAGGGAACTGGTGTATATGCTAGCTGTAGTAGGCTACCTGTGGCAGAAGCTTATTCACAGAAGTATAGCCCCAGCCATGAAGTGATGGATAGTATAATTATCTAAAAATGTATTTTAGCCATGATTGGCAGGGAGGTCAATATATTAGTTAGGTGTCAATATGTAATATGAATTGCCAGAGACGTCCCTTCTGCTCTGAGCAGGTGGTGCAGCAGTGAGCTGGGAGTGGAGTGGTTGCTCAGCTCCAATAGGTGACGGGTGGCTGCTGTTTTTTCTCTTCCTCAATCCAATGGCCAGCACCAAGCACAGGAGATGGTGGTTCTGAGAGCCAGTCAGATCTGAATGTGCATTGTTCCAGAAAAGCCCACTGAGGCACAGCAATGGCACTACTCACTCTAGAAAAGTATGATTTATTGTAGCAGGAACAAGGGATAAGCTCAAGTGCTCTCCTCCCCTGGCTAAAGAGATTTCCTAAATGGTTAGGCGGATACTGTGGTTTGACAAACCAGGCTTCAGTTTTCTATTTCTTAGAGATTATTAACCTTACATAGATGGTGGTAGTCAATTGGATTTTGGTTTCTTTCAGGCTTGCAACTAGAAACCAGTAAGGAAAAAATGACATGTGGTTTTCAGTTCAGGATAGAACCAGTCAGTCTACAAAGTCATAATCTGCTGAGCAGCACACACATTTGGTAGAAATCAGGGGACTGGGAGGTAGCAATCATACTAGGAGCTTCTGTCATCCAACTTCCATAGAAAAACTTGGTTTGTTTAGCTTGGTTGGTTTTTGTTTTTTTCCCTTCCAGCATGCAGAGAAGAAAAAACCCAGGGCCTCTAGGATTCCACAGGTGCAAATGAAATTAATCTATAGAGAGAAATTGCAATCTTCTTGTGGTTGAAGTCTAAATGCCATGATTCAATTAGGTCAACTGTGTTGCATTCATTGCCGAGCAATAGGAGGCGGTTCACGTAGTGTGCATCCCCCACCACAGTGATGGCCTGATTAACTCACATTAGGATCTGCAGGAAAGATAGTCTCAGGCTTTGCTATTCAGATTAATTCCTTACCTGAGAGAAGGACAGATAACTGCAGTTCTTGATTGTGTCTCTGTTGGACAGCAAAGTAAGATAGGGTTATTTAATCATAAGAAAAAGCATAGCATTTAACTGTATCAGATATTGTGGTGGTGCAACCAGCATAGTTTTTCAAAACAAGGGAAGGTATTGGAAATATTCAAGAAATGCTAATAAGTTTGTGTAGTGGTGGGAGTTAAAGGGAAGGAAGGGCAGGGTGGATGCCTCATACTCTACTGGAATAAGCACACTAAGGACAGAAAATATTTATCAGCCTACATACTGTCTGCAGACCTTCTGGAAATACTTAATGTTGGCATGCATCCTGGTTTTTCTTTTCTTTTCTTGTGGGAGGAATTTCTCAGTTATTCCACAGCAATCCCATGTCAATATCATTATCTCAATGTATCTGAACTAAGAAAACTTATGTGGCAGTGAGCAACCAGCTCACCACTACTGTTAGCATGGCTGGTACTTAGCATATGATCCAGACCATAAGAAGCATGTTTCTTCTCAGATGCTTCTTTCCCCCATCTATTTACTAGATATAAATAAGGAGGATAAATAATCATTCATGGCAGTAAGTAGAGGGAATCATGCACTAACACAACTCAAAATATTTCATAAAATGGAATTTTATGGCATGAAGAATAGTGTCTCAACAATCCTCTGCCTTTGTGTTGAACCATGACTGGGGGAAACCCTGGTTCAGATGTCTGCAGCTTGGGTCAGTCACATTCCCTCCAGCTGCTGTTAACTCCCAGAGCTGTTGTGAGGGAAAGCATTAGGGGAGGGGATCCTCACCTCTGTGAAAGAAGGGCAAGATAATATAATATACCATATTGGCCCAAATATAAGCTGGACTTTCCCCCCAAATTCCCCAAAGTGTGGCTTATATTTGTGACCTTACACAGCCGGCAAAGTGGCGTGACTCCTCCCCCCCCCCAGAGCAGCCGGGGAGTGTGGGGCAACAGCGCGCTGCCTGCCCGCCACTCCCAAGACTCCCCCAAGCTGTCAGAACGAAGGGGGGAAGCAGGTGGATGCTGCTGGCAAAACAATGAGGCACCTCCCCAGGAAGCAGCCCGGGTATTGTCTTCTTCTCTTTCCCCCCTTCAATTTTAAAGGTGTGGCTTATTTGCGGGAGCGGCTTTTATTTGGGCCAATACAGTATTACTTAATAATAAGCCTGTAATTGTTACAGGATGATCCTTACAGTATAATCATGTGAGCTGATGAACTAGCATGGCATTTTATAATATATTGTGCTAGAATCCTTGTATGTGGAAGAAGGCTACAGTATTGAAGTGACAGTGGATCTCAAGAAGAAGAACAGGAGTTTGGATTTGATATCCCGCTTTATCACTACCCTAAGGAGTCTCAAAGTGGCTAACATTTTCCTTTTCCTTCCTCCCCCACAACAAACACTCTGTGAGGTGAGTGGGGCTGAGAGACTTCAGCGAAGTGTGACTGGCCCAAGCAGCTGCATGTGGAGGAGCGGAGACGCGAACCCGGTTCACCAGATTATGAGTCTATCGCTCTTAACCATTACACCACGCTGGCTCTCCTTTAATTCCAGTACTTGTGGAGGAACTTCAGTTAGTATTACTGCATCAACAGACCCCTGATAGTAGGGTAGCAGAGAGAAAAGCTCCTGAGCAGTTGAAGCTGACTAGCTTTAAATTTTCCCACATAAAAGCCAGGAGATCCGAGTGCCTATTGAAACAAACCTTAAATGTTCCAAAGTGAGGGGAGAATACACAATGCATAAGGTAGAAGAATGCTAATTATTGGTACTGTCAGTTTGGAGGAGACAGAAGCTGGCTGTCAGCCAGTCTCAATTGAGAGGGAAATCCTGAAGTGAATCCCTAGAATGAAACAAGAAAGGAAACACCAGCAGTTGACATCCACAAGATACAGTATTTCCCTTCAGGGCTGGCCAGGAAAAGGTAAGGCAGACCCCTGCTGTATGTGACACACAAGGAAATTAAACACAACATGCCTGTAGGCAGGCTGCTTACATTGAAGAGGGGAAATGGAATTGGAAGGAGTGGAAATGGAATTGAATAGATTAAGTTGGCTAAAAATGTCTGGACAATATAAGCTGCATGCCGGGGAAGCCAAAGTGCTTAGAGTACTTTAACAAGGAGTGGTGCATCCTACCAAACTGCTGATCATCAAGATCTTCTGGCCCCATTTGTGTGTTCAAAGCTTTCACAGCCTCTTCTGAGACCTTATTTGGGAGGCTAAAGAAGAGAATGCTTCAGGAATCTAGGGAAGAATTGTCACTAGATTTTTTTTGTAAGTTTATAGAAGCATCCCTTTTTAGGGTTTTTTTAAATATAAATTTATTATCATTTTCCAGCAAAACATACAAATTGACAAAACCCAAAATAACATCAAGTTGACTTCCCCTCACCCCATCTGTGCTCCCTTTCATTTCATCTCTGCTACTGCATTTCCACAATAATTGGGTTTTCTTTACTGCTCATTTTACATTAACCCTGCTAATGTTTTTAGTTGTTTACAGTAAGTCTTCAGATTTTCAGTCTTTATTAAAGATTCTTTCTTCCTGGTTCCTTATTCTTCCCATAAGTTTAACAGTTATGGAAGCATCCTTTAGACAAAGGCTATCAGAAGGGCATGTTCTGGCAATTTACCAGGGCCATGGTAGCTCACAATTTGTGATGCTATCTTCCTCCTACGAACTAATCTTTTACCTCTATTAATTGTAGATTTCCACTTTTAAGCCAGAATACCAATGAAAGCAAAGGATCGCTAGAAAGGGAAGGTGGTAAATTAAGGGAATTGTTGGAATCCAGCAATGTATGACAGAGATGGGGATTTACTGTAGGAGAGCATGGTGCACAAGAAAACAGTACTTTGTTGTAGTTTCTTTGGAGAAAGGCATTTGGACATTCAGGGACAAATGCATTATCATACTCCAGCCTTAACCATTTCAAGTATTGCTTCCTTTAGATGCTTCATGAGCTATAATAAAATGGCATTACACAGCTGATGACAAGATCCTCTTTGCTAATAGGAAGCAGTTTATTTTATTACAGTCCATTAAGTGCAGCAGTAGTAAGTGTCCCTGAGCAAATGGCAAGTGTGTGTGTGTGTGTGTGTGTGTGTGTGTGTGTGTGTGAAAAGGATTTCCTGGAAATAGATTTTGGCTCGGTTTCTGGAAGGAATAGAGTTCAGCAGCACTTATCAATCAATAGAGTCATATTTCTTCCCTTCTCTGTTATGTCATCTTGTAAAAACTAAAGAGTATTTTAAAAATGATATAAGAACAGGAGTTTTTCTCTTCATTCATTCATTTGGCCATTGGTTCTGGCTACTTTTAAATATTGCAAGTCACTTAAATATTGCAGTTCTCTAGGGAGAACTGTGTTCAAATTCCAACACAGCATTGGGTATACTGATATTGTTGGCATCAGTCTGTCTCAAGAGACAATGGAGTTCACCTCCAGGGTGAAGTCAAACTACTGGAGA